ATTTCCAACCCTGCATAAATACTAATCCCACTTCATGGGGGAGGTATGGATACCAATGGAACTATGCAATATAACATCTTAGAAATGCTATAGAGATGTTCTGGACAAAAAAAATTCCTTCAATACTCCTGTCCACCACAGGTATCCCATCACCCTCCCATCTCTGCTCTTCATGCCGAATCGGATCACTGGGTCTTCTGGCAAGAGTACAGACTTGATACTAAATTTAGAGGGCAGTTTTTCAAAGTCATTCCTACTGGTATGTGTCACTTGAAGTTTAAAACCAACGGACATCATTTCTCTTGGAAGAAGCCTATCACGACAATCCATAACATCTTGGTGGGAAGCCTTTATGTTGATCAGGTGAGTACATTCTGGGTTCCAGAAGCTTTCTTGCTCCAGGGCTTGGTAGAAACTCTTGACCGAGTAGCACTGGAGCACGAGAGACTCAGGGAAGTAAATTTTTGAAGGAAAATTTTGAACGGGAGGAAAGTTACCCCCTCTTCCCTTACCATACATGTACATAAACAAGTGCATTCTCCCCACTACCACCCCCTGGCCCAAGCTCTTTGGGTCTCACTAACTTAGTGCATCTTATATGCTATAAGATGCTATTTGATGTCATCCAGTCCATGCCATGGTAATACCGTGTGCGGCCTTTACGTTTCACAGTTAAACGAAATGAACTTTTACTAAATCACATCCAAAATTTAAAAAAAAAAATTTCTGTAGGAAGGAGATGTGTTGGTTACTAACCATCAGACAAGGGAAACYTGTACAATGCACTTTACACCTGTCAGAAAGGCACAGGAGAAGTTTACAGTCGTTAAAGGTACATATACTAAATTGTGAAATATTTTGAATACAATGTGTGCACTGATTGGTCGAGAACTGTGCTGTATCAGTGAATAGAGCACAGTGTTGATGCCACGCTCACGCAGCAATCTTTACAAAGAATCCCTTATAGTCTCATAATCCCAAATAGTCCCTTTAATACGCGTACTCTAGTTAGTCGAGAACTGTGCTGTATCAGTGAATAGAGCACAGTGCCAGTGCCATGCGTGCGTAGCATGTTCTGATTGGTCAAGAATTGTGGTGCATCGGTTAATGGAGCACAGTTCTGACGCCACKTGCGCACCCTCAGTGTGTTTTAACAACAGCATAGAAATTACTGTTATAACAGAAATGTTCAAACTTATTTTTTCTGGATTTTTTTTTCACCAGGAGAGGTAAAGGACGCAGATAGTAACATACGATATATCGTTAATGGTTCTTGGGACCGCTCATTAGAGTGTACGCCCGTTGATGGAGGTATGTCAGGGATGGATGATCAGTCTGTATATTTAACAAATTTACATCAGATTTTTATGTGTCTAACGATAAATTGCGTCATCACATTGTCAAAGTAGTGTGGATCCATGAGGCGTAGCCGAGCAGTATTCTAAGCGCAACTCACATGTTGATATTTACAGAGAGTAACACATTCGGAGTTGAATCTCAGAAAGCGCCCAATACAACACACAAGGAAGCCCTACAATTAAATACCCCTATTTCAAAAACGTCGGTTGGTCGGACATCTAAAATGGGGGATCTGAGAATGAACAGAATTTTGTGCTTCTATGTTTTCAGGCTAGAATACAAAAAATCATATTTCTAACTGAAAAGTCATGCATCGTATGCAAACCTAAAAGGGAACTACGTTTTTCGGCTGCGAATATAATACATATTGCAGCGTGCTACTCGGTCTTAGATTTCAGATCTCCGACGGACAACGTTATATTCAAATAGTTTCCTGATTTACCTTTTTTAAATATATTTCCAACAGATGTGAATTGTGACAGCATTGATCTTTGGACCGTAAACCGCAGACCCGAAGATTCCCACAAGTAAGCTTAGCCTTCTCCGCAGCCTACCCCATATATTTCTGTTGGGATGCCTGTRTTAAATTATATGGCAGAGAAGAACTAGGGACGAGRGAGGAGGAGRAGTRGGGACGAGGGAGGGAAAGGAAAATAAGCYTACYTTTACCACTYTCTGATTCTACGAATTAAGCCAGTTTGTTCGTTTGCTGAAACTACGAATATTGGTTAAGGAAAGAGAAGTCATTGCTGGGATTTGATCCGATTCTTTTTCTAGAAGTGCATCATAGTATTCTTGTTTCCTATTTTACTACATGGATACCAATTATTGAACAACTATTGTTCTGCATACACTGACTAGCGCCTGACTGGCCTCTCTACTGTTCTCTACGTAAACACTTGGCTACTCAAACGCTAGTCAGTGGTTATCATGTTGTTTTCGGTCATCTTAATTAAGAACACCTGCTGACTGCAGCTATGATTTGGTTTGCTAGTTTTTATATGCCGACCCTTTGTGAAACGAGGTGCTGTATAAGCGCGCATTCATCAGAGATCATCTTTAATTTCTTCGGCTGTACATAAGCTGCGAGCTCCAAATAAAAAGTTTCAACAACTCTGGAGCTCTGGCTACCTGCGCATGTAGATAGTTTTCTCATATCGTGCAGGATGGTAGAAGATGACGGCAGATTTGAATTTGGAATGTAGACCATGGCTCCTCTATTGATGGTTTTCACAGCCGCTATGTTGGATGAGTTTAACAAAAGATTCGTCATTAGTCTCTTTTGTTATATCCTCCAACATGGCCGCCGTGTCTTTGTTATTTCACTCTCTTGGGAATGATTGCAAACCAGCAATACTGGAACGAAGGTTCCAATCTCTCAAATGTTTTTTTTCAGGATGTACTCGTTTACGAATTTCACGATACAACTGAACGACCCTGATTACGGTAAGCAAGAATCGTTGAGTAAATACACTAGATTAATTTACGTAGAAGTAGCCTAGGCTTTTGTGGACGTCAATCAAGGCGTTTCCATGACATTTCCATTGGCACGTGCCTCAGTCGTATAGCGCTTATCTCCGGTGTAATATAATTTATACAGCAAAAAAACTTTATCAACTTAACAATCTATAGAACGAGACATACCTCGTATTTTCCTAAATGCGAACGAGGACGCCTCTTATCAGGTTTTAGGAGAATATTTTTGTTTAATAGAGCGTTTTCACGGCTCGCGTGACAAGGAAGCCATATTTATGTGCCAAGCAATACAAACTTTCTGCACGGTTTTTATATAAAAATAGAGTTCAATCCCCGGAGGATAGAAAATGTATTGTTTTGGTACACCAGCATTGCCGCTGTGACGTCACGTAAGGACGCTCTATTAATGTTTTTTTTCTTCTTTTGATTGAAGGATCAACATGYCCCACTGATTGTCGAAACAGACCAGATATACGGCTACTCGAGAGTGGCAAGGTAGTATTCAAAATATTTTTCTTTCAAAACGACAAAGTCGAGGTTGTACTTAATGTTTTCATACATTTACTGTGTTTTATCAAGTGCAGCCTCGACTTTGAGCCATTGTTCGTGGTCATAAAAGAGAATTCGTAAAAGGTCTATTGATAACTTTTTTTATCGTGACATAAAATGAAACGGGTTACTAGAGCGCTTTTTCATGCTTTCTGCGTCTAATTCAAATTTTAGTTTGTTTCTTCATATATTCGTGAATTAACTCCTGGGTATGTACAAAATTGACTTGTGGACGTCATAAAGGTCATTGATACTTTAAAAAAATACTCTAAATTTCTCCACAAATATCAAGGGCGTATGCCTATCTGTGAGGGGGAGGGGGGCATGTCCTTTAGAACCCTTGGAAATTTTTATGAAGAATTGTTACTTGATATTCTTATTTTATTTGCAGATTGACAGTTCTGCTGGCGAGAAACACCGTCTCGAGGAAAGACAGAGAGCATCGCGTAAGGAGCGGGATTTATCAAACGAGGCATGGACTCCAAGGTACTTCAACARCCATTCCTACGCACCCCACCCTTGAGGGGTCATACTTTTTGCTTTGTCACTGGCTTGTTCACCAGTTCGATGAACAAGGTGCTAGCTTTGCTAAACAACCATATAAGACATGAAAAACAAAACATATTTGTACCCAAACTAGASCAGAATGCACCATGTTCRCTATCCCTAGTYYGRYTTTSGCTAAACACCTAYRTAAGWCRTGATGAACAAAAGATGTTTGTACCCMAGCTAGACCACAATGCATCWTRTTCKTTATCCCAGGTCTAGCYTTGCTAACCATATTCATGGGTTGAAAGCATTCCCAAGACAAGCAAAAGACAAAAACGTGCGGCCATTGTGGTGCCTTTAACAATGGATGCTAATGTGAATTTTTTTTGTTAAATGGCACCAACATGGCCGCGATTACATAACGTTCAATYGAAGAATATTACATGATGAACAACAGATAATGTTTGTGCCCAATCTATGCCAAAATGCACCTTGTCAAAATTGTCATTTATGTAACGAACTCTTGTCTTTCTTTTAGATGGTTCGTTCCCCGAGAGGACCCCTACACGAGGACGTTTGACTACGTCTACAAAGGAGGCTACTGGCGAAGCAAACTTCGAGGTCACTTCGATAAAATCCCAAGTATTTATTAGCTAACACTTGATAGATGTATTTTATTTTATGAGCATGCRATGCAAGTCTACTCTTCTCTTCCGAAGTGCAATCTTAGCGAGTCAAAATTCTTTCTGACGGCTTCTGAAATAACGCTCTTTACTTGAAGCTTCCGACAATATAAYGTGGTCTATATCCTACTAATTTCTGATTGGACACTTTTGGTCCAATGAGATTACAGGAAAAATCCGTCACTTGACATTGTGCTTTTTTTAATATCATTTGACCAACGATCTGATTTTACGCCTTGGATCCAAGGAGATTACAGTGAAAAACTCTCGTGACCCTGAACGGATATGTTTCATGGTATGTGTAGGATATATTTTATTAACGATTCGTGATTGGAGACTTTGGATCCAATAAGATTGCAAGAAAAACTCACGTGGCCACTGACATCATCGAGTGAGGGAATCCCAGCGAAAACCTCATATCAAAAACTCCATCTTAAAACACATCGATAACAGAAATGAAAACCACGCTATAGCAGTTTGTTGTAGTATTGGACTTAATCTCATTGACTAAGCTGACAGCAACGACAGCATTTGACAACTTAAGAACCATACTTCTTGCTTTGGAAACTTGGAATCCTTATCTTCTTTCTGCTTGCAATTGCCTTTACAAGCCTTCTGGTGTTCAAGTCTTGATCTTGGGATAGTATTGGTGCTTACTTGATCATAATAATCTACCATACGGTCTTATCTATATTGTCTTGTCTAGAACCTTTGTTCTTAAATATAACCAGCTTTATTGACATGTTCCATATGAGGAAAGCATTTGGTATCTAATCACATCACAAGGAGGTAACAATGTTGAGTCAACTAAAGAGGAGGACCGCTGACATGATCGCAGTCATTACGAGCGACGTCATCCAGCAAAAATGGTTGATAGTAGTATTGAAGTCATTTGGCCAATCAAAACTCTCGTAGTATCGTGTTCCTGCCGTATAAGGTACATCAGCAGAATCACAAGAACCAATAGGATTTCTTGGAARTTGATGACAAGCATCTTATGGTACAAGGTGTCATGGCGAACTTAGAAGGATCGTAGCTTGGCGGTGCAAAATTGTTAAGCAATCAGTGAGCAGCGCAAAAATTTGCAAAACTGAGGTGTCACCTTTCCTCTTGAAATCATAAATTTCCAGGCCATCGAATGAAAAAAAAATTGCTTATAACTGCTTAATAACGGCAACACAATCATTAAGGCCTAGGGCAAACGTCGAACTTTCCATGCATCAAAGAATGCCGCCTCATTATCACCTGATATCCATTGTTTTTAATGAGTTCGGTGCATGGAAAGTTCGACGYTTGCCCTAGGCCTAAATGTGTTAAATATATTTATTATAATTGTAGCTATGTCCTTATTTTTATATTTTCACTGGCCAATTCGTAGGCTTCTTGCACTTGACGCACAGTTTTGCAATGACGCAATTTCTACCTCATTATTTCAGATCAGCTGGACAGCCTTCCTCAAAATGCGAAACCACTGGTTTTATTTGAGTGTAGTTGAAAATAAGTAGTATATGAAGATAGTTTTGACTGCGCAGGAACGGTAACCATTACCATGCAAATTAGACTTTACGAGTTTTTAAAGGAAGAAAAAAGACTTAAAGTGCTTATAAGCCTCTGCACAATATTTTCAGAATTGATTCTTTAGATAGTGGATAGTTGATTGTGAAAATATTTCGTCATTTGAATGTCGGGTCTTAGAGATACGAAGGTTTATATTCCCAATATGTTAATGACTATGACGTAACATAAGGGATCATTTAATATACAACGCTGCACTCGTTCTGGAATACAGTATTTTAAAAGCACCACCCTTTTACTCGTGACTCACGTAAAGGTTCTTAAAAATTTGTTTTCAAAAAAATATCCAGCGTTCAATATTAAAAGTTGCCACAAAATAACTCACATCCCTTTTGTTAAGTCATAGTCATTAACATATTGGAAATATAAACCTTCGTATCTCAAAGACCTGACATTCAAATGACGAATTACTGTCACAATCCGGGTAACACACAACAGGCAGAACGAAGCCTGGGAATGGATGAACAAACAATGAATGGTGAGATAAAACAAAGAACGCAGCTCACATGTGGAACAATACACATTGTTCACCATAATCCATGCTTTCTTTGTTTTTGTTATTTTGCCCAATCCCAAGCTTCGTTCTACCAGTGGACACCGACCCCACAATCAACTATTCACTATTTAAAGAATCAATTATGAAAATATTGTGTAAAGGCTTATAAGCACTTTAAAATTATTATTGAAAATTAACTTATTCTATTTCAAATTTACTTAAATATTGTATTTTATTATTCGGGTTTTCCGTAACAATTTCATAGTACAGTAGTTTGTTTTATTTAAGATTTATTCGACACGAGCACTTTTTGAAATTATTATTTTCTTCAGCAACCAAAAGTGCTATAATGTATAATATTTGGATATTTATACTATATTTCCTGTGTAAAGAAGGGTTTACAACAATAGCAGAGGGGGATAAAAAGTAGTTTTGAAGTTATGATTTTTTTTTGTGTTGCATGATGTTTTAAGATTTAGAGCGAAGAAACTTGAACCGTGAACTCTTCAAATTTTTTTAAATTATTTTTTTGCCACCTTTTGCATACTGTAAATCATCCCTTGAGGCAGTCGATTGAAAATCGCTCGGTGTATTTGAACWCAATGCTTTATTTTAGAAAGTTTGAATTAAACAGTAAAAACTCCAGGAAATAATAATCTGAAGAAAAAAAAAAAACTCTGAAAAAACGTGGGAAAAAAGTGTTCACGGTTCGAGTGTTCTCACTGCAATACTACGGTTGTTAAAAGAGAAAAAACTTGATTTCCGTGTACTGTTAATAATAGATATAATGTATACCTTGCAGCACGGGACACTGCGAGGCTAACAAGAAACTACAAAAAAATGGCAGGTACAAAATACAATCTAGAAATTTCTTCTGTATTTGCCTCAATTTTTGGAATAGTTTTGAAAATCGCAAATCTATTGCTAATCTAGAATTGTAATATTCAAAATGGCGTCTRACTAGATGTATGTGTCATCATGTGATTGGATAAGCGAAGTTAAATTTTGACGTCACTTAACTTCAGTGACCAATACTGAACTAGAGGGATTCCTGATCCAAATATGGTAAGACGCCATTTTGGATATTACAAGGCCTAATAAGGAGACCGAGGGGGATCTAGGTAACAGAGAAAAAATCATATATTTTGTCATGAAGTCATTATAATTTTAATTTCAATTCTTGTAGTACATTAATACTAATAAATCTCAATTTTTTACTTAACCCGTGAAATTCTTCGCGGTTTGCAAGTCACGGTGCGGCCATATTGGTGGTATTAATTTGTTGTCTCCTTTGTTAATACCATCAACATGGCCGCCTTGTCTTTGTCATTTGACTCTTTTAACCTCTTGGAAATGCTTGCGAACTATCAATTGTTAATTAGAATAATATACTAAAGTWCTTCGGCCACTAGTACAATGGACCCTTCTCAAAAAGAACTTGGAKGTGAGGCTAACATGAAAACGAAAGCAACCACACTTTTTACAATAGCTTACAAATTTCTCGCTCGCCGATTGGTTATTTTTTATCATCAATAAGAGGACAGACAGATAAAGCTGACGTCATCGAGCATGCGCTCTTTCCGTTGGTGATTTTGATTACCAAAAGTGAGAAGTTTTTATCGTTTTTGTTATTGTAAAAAACGAATAAATGATGATGACGATGATAATGATGATGACGAAATTATCGTCAATAAGAGGACAGATACATAAAATACTGATGTCTATTTGTTAAATTCTCGATGAAATTTGTAGCATTTCTTTCGTATTTCATGTGAGCCTCGCATTCRAGACAATTTTTTGAGGGTCCTTGTGATGCCGAAATCTGGGAATTCCTCTATTACGTCATGATTTATAAATTGATCACTATAGAGGCTTTGCACCATCACGTAATGACAGCCATGACAGGAGGCACAACAATAGAGTATTTCTCCTTAGGGAAACTGAACTCATAACAGACTTTGTACCATCACGTAATGGCAGCCATGACAGGAGGCACAACAGTCTTTCAGTCTTTCACAGGAGTCTTTCTTCTCAGGGAAACTGAATTCTTTCTCATGTAAATCAGATTAGACCAGATTCAATTGTTCCTGCCTCCTGTCATGGCTGCCTTCACGCGATGGTGCAAAACCTCTATTAATCATGAAAAATACATTGTCGTTCAAATAATATTTTTTGCATCAAATGATTTTTTTTTTTTTTTTTTAAATTTTGGGGTGACTATTTGGCTGTAAGACTTGCTTTCATGTGCCAAATGGGGTAATATATACAAAGTAAATAGAAGTTGTCACATGTTTTAAAAAGAGCTCGTTATCGTTTTCATTTACTGGTTTCCATATTATAGGGCGTTTTCACTCACATGACACGGCAGCCATATTGGTGTTCCAAATAATATAAACGTTCTGGCACAGTTTTTGCATTGAAATAGAGTTGAATTCTACGAGGACCTCTTGCATGTGACGTCAAAGCAGCTCGATCTCGGGGACAAAAGAACAAAATTCCAATCTCATGATAATTGGAAACTATTGTTTTGACTCCCAGATGGAGCTGCATTCCAAAGTGCTGCAAGGGGTCTATATCGCGAACGAGCGAGTCCGAAAGTGAGTGATATAATATGGAAAACGAATGAATAAAATTCCTCTTAACCCTTAACATGTATTCATTTGTTTATAACGCATTTAGGTTCCATACAATAACAAAATTTCTAGTTTCCCGTTTACCGTGAAGTGATATCGTATCTCTTCACTGTTATAGTTTTTATTCACGACTTTATCACACGGATATCGACCCTAAATGTGTAATAAATTCTAACAAGCGCAACCTAATATTCATCTGATCTGATGTGTTTACTTAATGTTGCTGTTAACAGGTGTCTTTATGATAAAAGAATCTATTAAAATTGTACACAATTTRATAATTGTAGTCCCTTTTTCCAGATAGCGAACATGGAGCATTGTGGTCTAGCTTGGGTAGRAACATTTTGTTCATTGAGTATCCAGCAAAGCTAGACCTARGGAAGCAAACATGGTGCACACTGGCTTGGGTACAAACRTCTTTTGTTCAATCAAGTCTTATATGGGTGTTCAGCAATGCTACACCTAGGATAACGAATAARATGCATTGTGGTCTAGCTTGGGTRCAAACATCTTTTGTTCGTTCATCATGTCTTATATGGGTATCCAATAAACGCTAGACCTGATATACTGCATATGGTGTGTTCTGGTCTAGCCTGGATAAAAACCATCTTTTTATCATACTTGTAATTCATATGTGCATTTAGTAATACTAGCACTACAAAGTGAACTAGGTGCATTCTGGTCTCAAATGGATAGTCGGCAATGCTAGCCACGACASAGTGGACGAGGTGCATACTGGTCTAGCTTGGGTACAAATATCTTCCTTATCATACAGTGTTTCGATCGCTCACAAAATGTCTGAGGTCGACAAATAAACCTCTTTGTTATTTCTTTTTTTAATTCTCAAATTTTACTGAATACTGTGTTTTCCCAACGTGCCCAGTAAATCACAGATGTGTTTCCATTGAATGACCTTCCGGGTAGAACACCGGAGAAACGGGTTCTTCCGGTTTTGTACAAGCCTGCATAGATACAGTACTCAGAGTCGAGAAAGCTCGGCTTCGGGCTTCCCAACTGTAGCTTGCGTTTCTATTATTGTTCGAAGAGTTCAACTGTGAACAAGTTGTTGCAGACGACGACGAACGTGGCTTTTGGAGTTTTAAGTTGTAGTATGACAAAGATGAGGCGCTCGAGCTTCTTGCTCGACGTTCGTCTTCCAGTAAGACCCGAGGATTGAAATTYCCATTGAAGTAGTAAATGAATGGATTACAGATTGAGTTGAACAAGCCAAGTCCRTACAAACCTAGTCTTACCGCGTCCATAGGATTAGGGAACCCCTTAAGGCGTTCCTCAAGGAAACCGCTGTACACAACGAACGGCGTCCAGCAAATAAAGAACACAGCGACAACTATAAGAAGCATACGAATGACCTTCTTTCGCGAGCCTTCCATTATTTTTGAACTTTGAACGCTCTGGCTTRTCGATAGAACTAAAAGCGTCTTTTTTCGGTTCCAGACCACTCTAGCTACGCGGTAATACAACACACTCATTGTACTCACTGGAACAACAAAGGAAGCCAAGAATAGCAATACAAGGTATATTTTCCCGGACGAACTTTTATTTGGTATCGGAGTGCAATAGTGGAAACTAGTCGTGTTTGATATATCGATAGGCACTAGAGAAGAGAAATAGAATGTTGGTAAGAACTGGAGCGTTGAGTACAGCCAAGCGAAGGAAATGAGCCAGTTTGGACGGAGGACGCGTAAACGAGGTGCCTTGGAGAGCATTGGTCTTGCTAAGGATAAGTAGCGATCAATGCTGATGACAGTAAGGACAGCTATGGAAATGGTAGGTGATACGAACTGTAAAAACAATGGATAACAGAGTTAGTGCATCAGTTAAACTTCTTTAACAGACCCCGATTTTTGACTACGCAAAATTAAACATTACTGAGCTCTTGGCACCCAACACATCTTTCCATTCAAATCTTGTCATTTTTTTAACGTGCGGTTTTGAGTTGAAATTTTGCCTCCTTTCTAATTTCGAGGTTCTTTTTCCATTGCCAGTGTTCATACTTCTCAATTTAAGGGGAATTGAGTCACATAATCTATAAGGATTATATATACGGCCCTTCGGATTCATTTCTTGATTCTATAAATTCATGTAATTTAAGATAATAAGCCTGAAGAGAGATGACGTTTTACCCCCGTCTCTAGACCATAATCCTTTTCACATTGCTTTTGTTCTTTAATTATGACTACTGTTCCTGTACTCTCTAAGGAATCAAAAATTTTAATATGAAAGAATTTTAAAAACCATTATGGCATAGAGTCGGGGGTAAAACGTCATCTCGCTTCAGGCTTATCTTAATACCTGGACAAATCGGACAAATTTGCAAAGTACGACATCCAACAGGTCAGCGGTCGTTGGGTAATGAAAATTGCTAAATATGGTCAGCGGTATGCAGAKGACACAAACAAAAAAGTCAGATATGGCGAGGTGGCACAGGAACAAATGGACAGGGGATTTACGTCCACGACGACGAAGTGTAGTGATAATTGCTAATACTATTCCGTTGCCTACCATGCCAATGAATGATGTCAAACCTAGAAGAAGAAAAGATGAAATAAAATAGAAAAGGAATCGGAATAGGAAATGTGCATCCTGTTCAAAGAAAAAAATCACAAAAGAAATTTAACATTTTGACATTTTACTGGTTCATGAGTGAATATGATATTAATATTTCAAAAAAAAAAAAAAAAAAAAAAAAAAAAAAAGAAATGGACGCCGTGTTAATCGATCGATGGCCATGCTGGTTGATATTTACATCTGTGGTAAAAATGTAACGCACTTGTTTTTGATGCAAATTATCGTCATGATTCGTGTAGTTCTTGTTGTTTTGAAGCACGTAACAGCGGGTTATTGGAAGTAATAGATGGCAATAACAGCTTTCGATATTCTCACAATCTTCCGGTATTATGAATAATGTTACCAGTACGGCGATTAAATATATCATCCYTAGACCACGTATTCACGAAAGATGCTTTATTGAAAAGGGTTTCGTAGCTGCTTATGCTATTTACGAAAAATGACTTTCACTCTTTGAAAGTTTGTTTCAGCTAAGTTTAATCGAGTTATACAAAAAGCTAAAACATAAGGCTTTGAATTTCGAATAGCCATTATATCGTTCTCGGCCGATAAGTCACCTACTAAAACTCCATTAGTTCTAGCGATACGTCCTATAAGTCCTTGTCTTGGGATAAAATGTACTAATTACTAAATAGTAAAACCTCAACGTAAATAACTACTGATAGAATAAAGATAATGAAACCAAAGAAACAACTGCAAAGTAATTTTTATTTCAAAAAGTAGTGAAAATGAATGAAAATATGARTATTGATGAGATTAAAAATTAATGACGGGATTAGGCATTTATTGAGACAATAGTCGGCAGAGTATGATCTAATAGTTTTTTATCATGTTATCGCCCTCTAGTCTAGTAGTGCATATTATTTTCACTCAAGAACCGAAACAACGATTATCCTTTGTTTTTCAAACTATGATTTTAMATTTCGAGTTTTCCTTTTAGTTTCAATTCCTTTCTGTGCCTAGCTCTTCCTTTCTTTATTTCCTTAATTTCTTAGCCTCTGTTGATTTGTCCCTTTTCTATTTCCCGTATCGTAGAGTACTAGAACCACTAATATTAAATGTAGTGGTAGTGCGTGTGAGCGAAAAGTGTSCCCAGTTAGTGCGAAAGCGCTAGAACGACTARACACTTAAATAAGGTGATTTATTTTATTTATTTATTTCATTTAACTCAATGACGGCGTAGTACAAAGCGGTGCACTCGCCTCTCGCCTCTAGGGTYTCGGGTTTGCTTCCTGACTGGGCATCACTTGTATGAAGTTTATGTATACAATATTTGATTCCAGAAATATTACTTTTCTGGCGATATATTTTGAAGAAATTCGTTTTTATGCCCTGGGTTTCCTGTATTGTTTTCTTTTCTTCTTTTCTTTT